CGTTTAGTACATTTTGCTTACTAATTATTTAAAATACTATAAAAGTACTGTACATATGTAATTAAAAACGTTTTCATTATGATATAATTTTACTTTAGTAAAAAGATTTAGGTTCTTCCTCCACTGGTAGAGATTAGAGGAATTAAGACTAAAAATAGAAGATAATAAGGTTTTGTCAGTGACACTTTTTATATATTTATTGATACAAGTTATGACTAAATTAAAAGACAAAGTCGTTAGTGAAGATTATGCAACAGTATTTAGAATATAATATAATATAACATGCAATGCAAACTAGTTTGGTTACAGCTCAGCTGTATAATTCTCATTCTATCATTCCCCCTGCCTCCATTACATATCTGTGTCACACAAGTGTTTGATCACCACATTTGAGTGATCATTGCAAAACGTGTTTATAAAATATATTTATTCTGTTTATACTGTGTAAAGTACCCATCAAAAGTTTGTACACACCAATAGGAAAGTGTCCAAACTTTTGACTGGTATACTGTACTATAATACACATAAATAATATTGCTACTGTAATATACACATAAATAATATCGGCCGATATATCGGTATCAGGCTTTTTTTACTCCCTAATATTGGTATGGGCCCCCAAAAATCCATATCGGTCGGGCTCTAGTTCTGACCTTTGTCACAAAAAGTTGACGCACACACCTTTAATAATTGAAACTTTGGTTTTCTTGCTAAAAGTTCATAATAAAACATATAATCTAGTATTTTTGAATAAAAAATTATAATATAATATTATCCTCTAAAAAGTATAATATGTATATTATCCTCTAAAATATAATATCTTTTTTATCGCCTTTTTTTATTATATCACATATTTTAGTAGTTATCATAAATTAGGTATCATTTGAAAGCTTACGAACTCAGAACTCATCCTGTGAAAACCGTTTTGAAATTGAACGTTGCGTTACCATAGAAACGGACGGTACTCTAAAATATTTTATCAGGCTCCTCCCCTTTTTGGCATCATTATATTTCATACTTTATGATCAAAACCTTTTCTAATCTTGACAAAACACATTGTCAGAAAGGTCCGAGTCTCAAGGTTCCAAATTTTGTGACAGAATTTATATTTGGACAGAAACTTATTAATTTGTTAAGGCAGAATGTTTACAACTAAATTCAATGGAATGTATGTCACCCGGTGGCTATTTCTGGTACTACGCCTAAACAAAATCTCATGGGAGCTTCAATTTTTGTGATATCAACTTCAAATTTGGAACACAACTTGGTTAGATATATGGCTTTGATTTTATAGTAATTTTAGAGTAAAAAATATTTTGTAAAATATGTATTTTATATAAAATAAAAATATATAGTACAGTATATTTGATTTACTGTAAATTTAAACTTCCATAACTTTTTCATACTTTCATTTTTTGAAGTGTTTTAACTTAAGCAATAATCTGAAGACCAAAAGCATTCTTGAATTACAACCATTTAAGTTTGAATAGTGCATTTTAACCCCCATTCTCAAAAAGGGGGGTGACAGCTAAGGGGTTAAAGGCTTTATCTTCACACGCACATACAATAATTAGCAAGCACTTTGATTACAGATCTACAACTTTTACCATTATCATTATTGTCATTTTATTTCTTCGATTGTTGTGTACGTATGCATGCATGCATGCATGTATATATATATATATATATATATATATAGGTATATGTATTTTGTATACATAATTGTATATATCTATTTGCATTTTTTTAATTGTTATTTATTGATTCATTTTTAATTCTATTTTCTATTTCTGTTAAGCTTTTGTACATGTTGGGGTGGGAAGAATATTGTTCTTGTGCCTTTTTTTGGACAAAATGTATAAAAATAGAATTGAAAAAAAACACACCTGGCTACACTCATAATTCAATTCACACAAGACATAAGGTTTTTGTATAAATAGTGCAAGCGTGTTCACACTGACAATTCCAAATAGAAAAAGTGCACTTAAAATATCCAGATGATGCACTTAAATGAAGTGTGAATGTTGGACACTTCATGCACTCAACTGTCGCAGCTTTAATTATGCAGCGGAGGGGGAGGGGCTATCAGACTCAGATGATGAATGACAACATAACCATATTAAGTTCATACACTACACGGATGAGTACATGGTGTATGAGTACCTCAACTATATTTTTGCATTTATTCCAGTGGAATGTTTTGCCCTGTATACTTCCATTGCAAGTGCATTACTAAAGCCCACTTTTGTTTATTTTTACAAACTCACTGATGCGTCACAATTGCTTTCAGTGGTAATCAACATCGTCACAGATGCTGCATAGGACTTCAATTATATCAAACCCGGAACATTCCTTTCATTTGTTTTCCTCCAGTAAACACAATGGAAGTCTCTTCCAATACAGGGGAAGATATCCACCCTCATCCACAAATCAGAGCATTCTGGGGCACAGCCAGTTCCACAATCTTATTTGTGACACACACACACACACAATAGTACAGCTATGGCCACATAGTACAAAGTGTCACCAAAGGGACACTAATAACCGAGTGAGACTAATACTCTTAAGTGTGTCAACACTGCAAGGATTTGGCATGTGGACAGCACCAGTGATGGGAGCGTTCTTTTTTTGGGGGGGAACATTGCATCAGTCCAATATCCAGACCAGACATGCTCCACATGCTGGTGAGGGTTATAGGTTACAGAACAGAACATCACACCACAATGTCCTCAGAAGAACAACTGCATTCTCAAATGCTTGCGTGCGCATGGTAGCTATATTTTGGGGGCAAAAATTGTCCCCCAGAAGTTAGGTAAATATGAGAAAACCTCCCTTTAGAGATGTCTTCAAAGACTAAAAAAAATTTCCCATTCAACGACATGACTTGCGGCTTAACCACCTTAGTACTATGCCTTGTTGGAGAGATTAACTAGCTGATATTTGATCCACAAAACTTCATCTGTCAACCAGCTAGATCATTTTATTTTTGCAAACAATGAAAATGCATGTACAAGCAATAGAAGTGTAATTTGTCCTTTTGTAGATAAATCAGTAAACATGTTTATGTTTGTGCTTTTTAATATGTGTCTCAAAGTAGCAAAACACAATGTTTAGCCTCACTTGAGCATTGTCATATGAACTCAATGTATGGTTCAATTTGATCTGTCATTTAATCAATACTTCATGGCTTCGTCCAATGGGGTGATCCATAAACACAGCTTGACTAACGCAACACGCTATGATACATCAAACAGTACACGCAAAGCAATTCAGTTACGAAAGGCTAATCGAATGTGTTTTACGTTCTCTCTCCATTAACGCCGGGGTTAATAATGCACTGGCGTACACATTCAGAACAATCAATTAAGCCTATCAGCAACTTCCATTCACTAAATCACTTCTGCGTAAATGTTTAAACAAATGGACTGACGCAGTGATGCTAATGCGCTCATTTTCTTCACTTAGAAGGAAACAAACACTCTCGAGGTTTACAATGACAAACCAACATGTTCTTTTTCTAAGCAGGGACTAGTCGCATTAAAAAAAACAATGTGGCAAGCACATTGTCTTAGTGCCAGGGGTCAGGGGGGTTAACACAGGCGCGCACTCACACACTGAACACAGAAGCACTTGTTCTGCTTACAACAGCCCAACTCAAGACCCAAGCACATGCCCCAGCACGCCACCATCACCCCAGTTTTCAAACGCATTAACAATGTGGTTTAGGCGTGTGTGCAAGAGATACTTGGGATTTTGATTTCCATGAATTAGAATGGTAAAGTTCGCCATTAACTCATTTCATTATGAGGAAACACCAGTGTAACCGGTCTAACTGGGGTTAAGTTTCACTATTATTTGATACAATGGCATTTGAACACACTCTTTGGGGAGAGACACGGTAGTAGTAAAAATATTGCAGACGTACTTTATGACTGAGCTGATTTTTCTGATGTTTATATCAGACCTAGTCACAGAAACTCTGTTGGATAAAAAGAAACGAATAAAATAGCAGAATCCCATCTGACCTTTTTAGGACTGGCTCAAATTTATGATAAAAAAATTCCATCAGCATTCCTTTTAGATTTCTTTTTTTTTTATGAGGAATGCTTGAGCAACATGCACAGATTATGCCAATAACTGAAATTCTCAGACATGTATCGTTCAAAAGTTTGGGGTCGGTAAGATTTTTTTTAAATAAAATATTGTAAAATATTATTACAATTTAAAATTTCTGTCTTAATGTATTTTAAAATGTAATTTATTCATGTGAAGGCATCCATTACTCCTCTAATATGCTGACTATTATTATCAATGCTGAAAACAGCTGTGCTGCTTAATATATTTGTGGACACGGACACATTTTTTCAGGATTCTTTTGATGAGTAGAAAGTTCAACGTGCCATTTGTCTAAAAGTAACATGCTGTGAAATGTCAGTTGAAAGGTAAATATTATCGTTTGTATCGCCCACGAAAATAACATTTGAATTAAACCACTGTTTTGCCAACAGTCCTAATGTTTTAGCAATAAATAAATGTTCTGATGTCAATGTTGTTGCCATTGTAAGGGTTACACTATATTGCTGTATATGCAGCATTAGCCTATAAATTGGACATTTAGATGCAATTATTAACAAAAGATCCTTACAACGTTTAAACGTGGTTTTACTACAGTAACCTCGTTGTAAAACCATAGCAATAATAACTATCCAAATAAAAAACATGATACCACTAATACCAAGGTAAAGATATTAAACCCGCGCTCCGTGAAGCAAAACCATTGTTTACAGCAAAACACTACTGGTTACTCCAGTATTACTATAGTGAAACTATATTGATATTTCGGGTTAGCACGAGACTGATAAAAAGGGAAAACAACATCTTAGATCATGAACCATAAATAGCAGAAACACATCAGATTAACTGATATCCACACATATGCACAGTCTGGGGGTTAGATAACACGCTGCATGGCTGGATTAAAAAGACTCAAGCATAACTACCATGTCGCAGTGTAAGAAAGAGTTCCTCTCGAGTTCAGGTAAAGTTCTCTCGGCGCTGGGCATAGTTCAGTTCACTTCGGTCCGGTCCGGTCAAACTGGACGCTCATGTGCGATTACGGCGGTCTAATTTGCTACATTGTGTCACGGGGTGCGGGGCGCCGCCGCGCGCTCTCGGTCCGTAGATTCCTCTTTGTAATCTGCGCGACACACACATTCACTCACTCAGTCCCTCAACCCTGGTGCACATATATCTAGAGAGAGAGAGACTGAGAGAGAGAGACAGAGAGAGAGAGAGAGGGGGCGGGCTCAAATTCGGCATTACGTCACAGCCATTTAGGGGAGGTACTACAAGTGGTAAAATGTTTTTTTGTTTCCATTTACCAAAATTAAATACGTAATTTTAAAGGACACATTGCGATTGTATTGCGATTTCACACTTAAAATATTCAGATGAGACATCTTATTAAATATGCACACATTTTCATATTATATATCATATATTATATAGTCTCAAAAAAATATTCCTGCAATCAAAAACTCATTCCATCCCTCCTTCTTTGTGTTTTCTTTAATATTTAATAAATCATACAGGTTTGTGAACAGGCGAGTGAAACGTGCTTTTTGGTTGAACTACTTTTAGGTAAAATCAAATTTTAGGCTTTGGTTCTTGTTATTGTTAACTAAAACTATTAAATAGAAATAGAAATTTAAATTTAACTTTTAAATTTTTAAATAAAGCTGAAATGAAATATAAATATTTGACGAAAAACGTAACTTTTGAAATAAATTGTTTAGAAAAAAATAATATTTTTACATTTTAAATTTTGCCTTGGCAATATGTTTAAGTAGAAGTACAAAAACTAAAACTGAAGTAAAAATAATTTAAACCTAAATAGAAAGATAAAAAAATAGCAAAAGGACAAAAGCACGTAAACCTAAAAAGTTGATTCCTAATAAATACTAGTGTTTATATGGTAATGCTTAACACTGGTTCTGTTTCAATGAAACATCAAATTAATATTTAAAAAGTAATATTTAAAAGCAATGTTTTTACTAAACAAACATATAATAAACATATAATATTACTAAAATGTGTTTGATTAATAAACCACATTTATTTACTCCTGTCGCATCTCATTTATATATTTTTTTATGAGAACACAAAATACAGATCTAATTCAAACGTTTCAACAAATAAAATATCCAGATTTTCTTTTCTTTTTTTTTACCCCAAACACAGTCTATTCCCTCATGCACTAACTAATACAAGCGTCTGACAAACTTGAGTATTAAAAAAATTTACAGTGTCTATTACTCTCAAGTAATTATTTATCTGACCTGGACAGAAGCAATTCTGCAATTTACAACACGTCACCTGATAGTCTCGAACCATATATAACCATCATATCTTACAGCATTAATGTTTCAGAGGAGAATCCTTTTCAAGCGAGTGCTGCATTTTTAAACATCTACTGGTCTGAAAGAGTCACATAGTGCTCATTCAGGGTGTGTCAAACCAGTCTCTGTCTGGCTCTCGCACACACACACACACACACACACACACACACACACACACACACACACACACACACACACACACACATTTGAATGCTTTTATTTGGATCTGAAAGACATTACAAAGAAAACAAGATCCAAATACTCTGGGAAGGGTCTTTGACAACACACACACACACACACACACACACACACACACACACACACACACACACACACACACACACACACACACACACACACACACACACACACACACACACACACACACACACACACAGAGAGAGAGAGAGAGTTGTCTATTAAGGTGAATGGTCAGTACCACAAGGTCAGAGCTATTGTTTATTGAATATGCCTGTGCCTTTTATCTGTTAACCTATACTGTTACATGGGTTAACAAACAAAGCTTTAAAATATCAGTTATGTACCTACATCATTTTAATGTTTAATAGTAATATTTAGCAAACTGCACTAATTATGATGAAATAATAAACCTCAGCTACTCTACTGAATGAGACAGTCACTAAGTGAAAGGGTTTAGTTTCCCAGGGGAACTGTTACAAATTATTCCCATCTGCCCTGCTGCGCTGCTAAATAATCACATTTTAGATGCACAAATCCTTGTAAGCACAGAGGTCTGGTGGGTGAGGGTCACAGAGGGGTCAGCAGGGTCAGAAACAGTGTTGTATGGGGGATGCTAGATACAAGGTTGTTTTTAGCATCGCTTTAGGGCATGAATAAAACAGTAAAGATGTTTGATTTATTTTATTTTCATATAATGGTGCAGTTATTACTAACTATGAGGTTATGGAAAACACTGGATGCTTGCATTATTCTAAAACATTCAAAAATGCTTCATATGAAAAATGATGTAAACAACCAGAGAGAGCCGTCTACCAAAGCAACAGCATCATAATACATTATGCGTTTTTCTCCCATATTCATATTAACTATAATAAAACAGTGGACTCTAAATAACTGGCACTCTTGCTTATGTTTTGTATGTGCACACATTCAAGTAATTAACACATTTGCAGTATGTATTTTTAGGTAGGACCCACATTAATACTATTCTGCTATTTATCTCACATCATATGTTTCATCATATGTGAACTTTTAAAAAGTTAGATTAGACTGCCAGAATTCAAAATACAAAAATATGTTGCCACAGGGATATTCTGGATATTATTTGCATATGCTCTGTGTGATTGCTAGTTTATACTTTCATGGCAAAAGTTTAGTACACCACGGCAACAGATATACCGTTTAAACATGTTAGTACACTTGTACTATAGTAGTAGTACGATACATTTTAAATTAAATAAAAATAAATAAATGAACTACATTTGCATTATGTTTCCTGTCAGCTGTGCAGGAGAATCAGCAATCAGCTTTCAAATCAATTCTTTGTCCAATTTGTGATTCCTGTCTAAGTAGATTTACGCTGCAGAAACAAGTCACATATTTTCTGACACATATTCCACTGTAGATGCTGAATATGTGCAATACCCATTTCATTTTTATTTTCTACAACAAATCTACAGCAAAAGACTTTCAGATGGAAAATAGTCACACACCTTTGCTGGACTATGACCAGCTCTCGGACATCTAATCTCTTGCAGTTTTCAAAACAAATGGAGAGCATAAAATATTCACCAGAAGAAGGGCCTACTTTATTTCAAGTGTGTGAAATAGCCCTGTTGGCAACACAAGTTGCACACACACACACACACACACACACACACACACACACACACACACACACACACACACACACACACACACACAGCTGATACCTTTTCACTTGATATTCTTCGAACTGAACAGACAATGTAATGAGATCTTCACACACACACACACACACACACACACAGAGAGAGAGAGAGAGAGAGAGAGAGAGAGAGAGAGAGAGAGAGAGAGAGAGAGAGAGACACACACACCTGCTTACACACACCTCTCCATGCACAAGCACCTTACACAATCATACCGGCACTTATCCTACTTGTAAGAGCTTGCACATACATTCATACCAGAGCGAATTGTGTCTGGAGTTCAGCCTTCCTGTCTAAAACAACAGATTGTGTGTATGTACAAACATGTAGACAGATTACATTAGCGTTAGGAACCAATTGAGAAGACCATTACCATGTGACGTCAACCCAGTGAACAGCAGTGACCCCCAACCACTGACCCTCAAAACCCGTTGGTCAATGCGACAGCAATTAGTGAGTTAGGTGTAGAAAGTTCAATGTCACGAAACTGTAACCACATAATTGGTCAATATTTAGTCTGCTTTCTTTTTTCAGTTTGTCACTCATAGCCTAATGTGCGACCTGTGCCACTGTATTATTATTAGATCTAGATTTAATGTTGTATGGTGTTAGGATTTCTTTGGCTTTTAGATTGTTGATATGTGGTTCCTAAAGTGTTCTGAGTGGTTGTTAGCATGTTGCTGTGTGGTTGCTAACATTTCCGTTTATGCATTTAGCAGACACTTTTATATTCAAAGCAACTGCTAAAGTGTTTTGAGTGGTTGTTAGCACGTTGTTAGCGCGTATGTTATTGTGGGTGCGTCTCAATCAGCTCCTAGGTCGTGAATCAGTATATTGTGTAAACGAATTCAGGCACTGGTAAGGACACTGGTGGCTCTATTTCCAGCGAAATGACAACGTCCTCATCGTACAATGTCACTACTGGTATTTATGAACAACAGCAGCACAGATATCTTTTTGACATGATTTGTTTATGTTGTTTAAAAGTAGGTTAAATACTTTGATTGTTGCATATCCTGCAACATTTCAGCTATAAATTAATAATAAATGTTTGCTATTATGTTCTTTTCCTGTCAAGCGATGTATGTTTAATTAGTCTTTTTTTTAAAACATCTATTGCGTCAATATGTGTATTAAGTTGATTATGTGTGTTTCATGCTTCAGAATTTCCGTTAACTTAGTGAGCATCGATGCCCGCTGGTTTTCACAGTGCATTGTGGGACTTTTTAGGGAGCAAACGTTTCACTGGAAGGATTTTGCGACCGAGACAGCCCTTAAAATGATCAGTGCCCTGACTACTGAACTAAAGCTAATTGAGACGCATCCTATGTGATTGCTAAAGTGTTCTGAGTAGGCCTACTTGTTAGCATGTTGTTGCTATATATTTGCTATAAGGTGTTCTGTGTGGTTATAGACCTTATTCACAGCAGCACCATCTTTTAATAAGAACGAAAGCGAGGCTGTGAGGGATAGACAAACATCTCTTCAGTGGGTTGTACTGTTATTTAATGTGTTTTTGGATTGTTCTGCTGATGAAACACTGCAAAAATATCTGTCTAAGAAATATCAGTAGATCAAAAAACCCAGACAGTATGAGCTGTGGAAAATAAGTGATCTAGGAGCTTTATTCAGCTTTTTACAGTGGATGCCATTGAAAACACGGTAAGTCTATCCCTTACCGCCTCGCTTTCATACCAGTCATGGCGCTCTTCTGAATAGGGTCTATTAGGGCATTCCTAAGGGGTTGCTGCTAGGGTGTTGGTTGGTTACTAGTTGGTTTCTTGTTTCTTTTTTTTGCCAGTACATCACCAGTGAATTATCGTTAGGATCTAGCCATTTGTGTTCATTCCAACATATGCATATGAGGGTTTTGAAGCAGGTTCTCTCGCCCAACCTCTGCTAGAGCAGAGCTGCATGCATTTTAATATCATGAGCTAAATCACTCATACAGACAGATGGTTTCAGTGACCT